AGTTTTCGATTTTTTGGGTGTCTTTTAATATTTCATTTATAAGTGTTCAAACTATGTAATAATCTTTTGTATGTAGTATGTAGATACGCTTACAATACAAAGATTTTTTCGCAGATGGTTTACGGGAAATTAGTATTAGTAAAGACATGTTGACTTACCTATGTGTTATAGAATCTGATTTAATCTACTTTGCACTACCGGAGATTTATTTAGTTACGAAAGAGAAAGTCTAGTTGAAAATAATAAAAATTCTAATGTTTCTGTTTTTTACAAACTGAAATTTCTCAGGAACAAAAACTATTTGAGAAGAATAAAAGTTTTCGAATTGTTATTAGAAATTTTCATTTGAAGCCGCTTAGAATGGTAAAGAGTCACTGAATGATTTTTATAATGACTTTGTTTTTAACGAGAACTACGTTAATCAGTGGATTTCTACTTTTTTTTTGGACGTACATGTTTTATTTTTATGGAAAGGGTGTGCCTTTTTTTTGATAAGTCAGAAATCTGAATTGATTTCTTGCATAAGTATTGCACAATTAAAAAGTGATTTCTTTAAAGAAAAAAATATGATAAACCTGACGGCATCCACATTTCTATCTGCTCTTAAGAAAACTTTTAAGATAGTCAATGCCAAAGTTTGCCAACCGTCATAATGATATTAGGGAGCCGTACTTTAAGACATAACGTATTGCCTGTAATCCACGTATAACATCATGCTCTCTCTCGAAAAAAATATAAATATTTTAAAGAAAAAATTTTAAATTATATTTAGAATAATAAAGATTATTTAAAAAAATTGTAGTTGGAAGTCAGTTGCTGTAAACGTATCTGTCTTAAATTCATGAAGAAAACACGCTGTCATCTCTTACTTGATGATTTCAACCGTATTGATCAAACTTACCAGGTTATAGATTTTAGCAGATCACAAGAGCCATCTTAAGTATTCCCTATAAGTTTTGCGGTTTAAATACAATATTCATATAAGTATAATAATGTTGTATTTATTAATGCAAAATGTCGAGCTGCAACATCCTGCCTTATTTTACTGGGTATAACAATGAAAATACGATCTGAGCGTAGACAACGAGAGATTTTAATGCCGCAGTTTTAAGTACACGATAGGTTCTAGAGTTACACAATCATCTCGTATTTCCAAAAACGTATTGAAAATTCTATATAGGTATGACAACTGATATTCGAAAGCCCACAATTGCAAAAAAAGTGGATATGAAATAGAAACCCGAGAGCTCTTTTAATTTTTTTTAGTAAACTGAGGTATGCGTTCACAACAAACAAGAAACGAAAGCTGTGACAACTGCACACTCGTTATGTAAGTCCTCTATACATATTTGTGACATTACTTTTACTGAACTTTCTTTCAATAAGACATGTTTCGAATATATGGCATGAGTCCCTTAATAATTAGAGTGGAGACGTTATACAGGGCATGTCCTCGGGCATGTCCTAATTGAAAGGTATGTATGTCTGCATTCAGGACCTAATACAGTGTCAGAAAAAAAAATATCAGACTTGCTCTAATGTCAGAAAAACACGCTAGCCATTGAAATTCGGACTAAAAAGTAGACTCTCTGACATATTTAACACAACAACTCTTAACTGAACTCTTCGTGAGCATCCCCTTTATTNGTTCAAAATATTAATAAAATTAAAAGTTACATGTAATTGAAGTTTTCGTAAAAAACTTTTTTTAGGATAACAATTTTATGAAAAAAATTTTTTTAAACACAATCTCAAAGAGAATCAGTACACTTTATTCAAATAGTTTTTTTCACTTTCACATTGCTACATGTATCTGAACTGATTATTCAAATACAATTAAAAACTATGATTGCAATAAAAAATGTCGACTTTTTTCATCATAACCAGATTGGTTTCTGCATTTTTTGCAGAAAAAAATAATACTCCTGTAATTTATAAGTTGGATTATAAATCCGAGGAGTATAGGTCGTGAACAAAAATTTAAAACCTATCTGTATAAACTTTTTAAAACAAAATTAAGAAAAATCATTGTATTTTTCCATTGCTACTCATACTTTTAAATGATTCTTTGCGTACTGCGAGAAACGTTCCATAAAATAAACTAATACATGCGTCAGAGGTTTTTAAAATCCATACTACAGCACGAAGTGAATAATACATTGAGCCATCCCCGAAATTGTGACTAACACCACCACAACAACACCAAACTAATCGAACATTGACGTCCACTCCTCCCACCAATTACAATGTTTGGTGAGGCCACGTATCCACTCGCAGCAATTACAAGCTACTTTTTCTCCTACTCTCCAAATTCAACGGCCAATCAACTTTGACTCGTGAGCTTTTTTTTCTACTCTACTGTGGTTAACGCAAGCTCGACAAAATGCTTTTTCCCTAAGTTTTCGATACTTTTGGTGTCTTTTGATATTTCATTCATAAAAGTTCAAACTATGTAATAATCTTTCGTATGTAGTGTGTCGATATGCTTACAATACTAAGATTTTTTTGCAGATGGTTTACGGAAAACTAGTATAAGTAAAGACATGTTGACTTACCTATGTGTTATAGAATCTGATTTGATCTACTTTGCACTACTGGAGATTAATTTAGTTACAAAAGAGAAAGTCTAGTTAAAAATAAAAGAACACTTTATGTTTCTATTTTTTACAAACTGAAAACTCTCAGAAACAGAAACTATTTGCGGAGGATATAAGGTTTCGAATTGTTATTAGGAATTTTTATTTAAAGCCGCTTAGAATGGTTGAGAGTCACTAAAAAATTTTCATGATGACTTTGTTTTTTACGAGAACTACGTTAATCGACGGACTTCTACTATTTTTTTGGACGTACATGTTTTAATTTTATGAAAAGGGTGTGCCTTTTTTTTGATATGTCAGAAATCTGAATTGATTTCTTGCATAAGTATTGCACAATTAAAAAGTGATTTTTTTAAAGAAAAAATATGATTAACCTGACGGCGACTACATTTTTATCTGCTCTTAAGAAAATTTTTAAGGTAGTCAATGCAAAAGTTTGCTTACCGTCATATTGATATTAGGGAGCCTTACTTTGAAAGATTACGTAATGCCTGTAATCCACGTGTAACATCATGCTTTCTCGAAAAAAATACAAATATTTTGAAGAAAAAGTTTCAAATTCTACTCCGAAAAATGAAGATTATGTCAAAAAATTTGAGTTTAAAGTCAGTAGCTGTAAACGTTTTTGTCTTAAATTCATAAAGAAAACACGCTGTCGTCTCTTACTTGATGATTTTAACCGTATTGATCAAACTTACCAGGATATAGATTTTAGCAGATTGCAAGAGCCTTCTTACGTATTTTCCATGAGTTTTTTGGTATGAATACATTATTTATATAAGTATAATAATGTCGTTTTTATAATTGCAAAATGTCAAACTGCAACTTTGAGAGGTACGCAATCGTCTCCTATTTACAAAAACGTATAGAAAATTTTATATAAGTATGACAACTGTCATTCGAGAGCCCACACTTGCAGAAAAAGTGAAAATGGAATAGAAAATCGAGAGCTCTTTTTATTTTTCTTAGTAAACTGAGGTATGCGTTCACAACAAACAAGAAACGAAAGCTGTGACAACTGCACACTCGTTATGTAAGTCCTCTATACATATATGTGACATTACTTTTACTGAATTTTCTTTTAATAAGACATGTTTCGAATATATGGCATGAGTTCCTAAATAATTAAAGTGGAGTTGTTATACGGGGCATGTCCTCGGGCATGTCCTAATTTAAAGGTATGTATGTCTACATTCGGGAACTAATACAGTGTCAGAAAAAAAAAGATATCAGACATGCTCTTATCTCGGAAAAACACGCTAGCTATTGAAATTCAGACTAAAAAGTAGACTCACAGATATATTTGACACTACAACTCTTAACTGAACTCTTCGTTAGCATCCCCTTTATTCAAGTAACTCTAAGCTTTTGGTCGTGACAACTTCTGGACTTTTCATTTCTAATAGTAAGTCCTTTGCTTAGCATGTTAATTTTACTAGCTGCATGATGAATACAATTGGCTATTTTAATTTCAAGACGATAGAGATTTTACGTTTTGATAGTGAAAATAAGATCAACATCCTTCGGAAAAATACGAGATAATAGTAATTTTGCGCTTCGATAGTAAAAGTACATTGATCTAAATTACGCAAGATAGTAGATATAATATCTAGTACTCAAGTTACATGCAGCTAGTACTCTTAATGGGGGTAAGGAAATCTCGCATTGACTACATTAATGTACATGTATATTTCTACCTAATTTGCGGTTCGTGTTTCGCGCTCTCACACTATAATAAATTATTGTGATAAGGATTCAAAGTAAATTAATCATCAGTGCACTTACAAATTTGTAATCAGTAAGTATAAGGTATAAATTTGATAGCAAAGAACTCTCCAAACCACTGCGCTAAGATAGCTTTAAGTGAAAGTGACGATTTTAACGAGATTTACTTTTTTTGACATTCACGCGTACGTAAGTGATGTCCATGGTACCACTTTACACACATACCTCCTAACAGTAATTATTAAAGGTTCGGAATGGAGAACCGTATTATAAACCTTTGCCTTTAAAAAAAAAGTTTTCGTAAGCAGCAAAAATTAATAGACAATTATATTAGATATTTTTCTGCAACAAAGCACGTACCTAAGCGCACGCTAGCAAGTATCATTAACAATGTGAGCCACGGAAACTTTTAGTAGACGAGATAACGGGTATCAATTATAAACGATAGTAATGTCATGAACGCTATACGTACAGCAGCAACACTGGAAATCGTTTCATTGTTCGTTGGTTGCTTGTGAGACTTTTCTCGTCTAGCACCTAAGCAGTTATATCACAGTATTTGTGGAAAATGTCTGTTAATATGCAGGAACAGATGCTTGACATCCATGACCAAATTCATGAAGAATCTAAGAAGGCTGGCTTTTCCTTTTCCGGCCGTTAGGCTTGTCTGATTATGTCTTCTAGGAATGCTACCAGAGTGTCAAGACAATTGGATCTGATACCCAGCAAAGATTATTGCCCTCTATTTGTTGGCGATAAGGTATGTTAATTTTGAAATTGCTTTTACGTACCTGAAGTTCTGTGAGATTTTTTATTAAATTCAATAGAATTTCCTTTTTTTAAAAGAGGGTCCAGCAGACGGAGTTTGACTACACGGAATTAAACAAGGACACTATTAAGGTCATTGTAAGTATCAAAATTTTTTAAGTTATACCTTCATAGGCGCGTTACTTATGAGGATAAATCAACGGTTTTTTATTAGCTGCCTCAAGAAAAAGTATGACAGAAGTGGATTTTGCTCCATCCTCTCCAATTCGCCTCACCCACCGTGACGTACTTCCGGTCCACTTTACACCACCTAACGCAACCACACTACACGACACATTTTAAATGTTATCAATTGTTTTTTTCCCTTCTAATTGATTGAAACAAAAAGGCCCTTACCCACTCTGCTGCAAGCGGTCCCACTTTTAAGATTTTGAGCAGCTAAGCTAGCCATTGATTTTCTCATGTTGATGTACTCACGAAGACGCTTTTACACACACTTGTTCCCTTTCTTTTAAGTTACTATAAAAATCAACTTGTGGATCCTTTTGATAATTGGATAAGTTTATCCAAAAGTAATCTTTTTTACCAAAAGAAATAAGGAGATTTCTAAAGATCGTATAAATGCAATTTTACGCAGTTTTTTTACAAGGTTACATGTTTAAATGCGATTTTTTAAAACTACAGTTGACTTTTAACAAAAAAAAAGATCTGATAAAAGAGTACAGTCTTGTACTGGCCAGCCTACATATTATTAATATTGTTTTGTGCGCTAACATATTGTTCATAATCGTTAATTTATTTGATATTAAATTATTAACTAAACCCATACTCAATCAATATATATATGATTGGTATACTCATCCATACGATAATTAAACCACCTATGTACATAATATTGTTTTATAGAAGGTATTTTTATACCCAGAATTGTAGTGTATTCCATGTAATATAATGGGCGTATAACTTTATTTTCTTTGTTTTTTTTTTTTTAATAACTTTTGAAGCATATATGTTTTGTAGAGGTTATACTAAAGTAGAGTAGAAATGTCTATAAAGATTTCCAGGGAGCAGAAAAAACATCAAATTAATAAATTTTTTTGTTACAAAGGGTGGAAAATGTGCATGGAGTTGATGTTATTCAAACACTGATCAATAAGTGATTAGGCTCTAAAAAAACAGTTTCGTTTATAATTTTTTTTTTTATCTTTGAGTCGAAAACATAGCTAGAAATAGTTTGTTCAACATGTGATTATCTCTCAATTCATGTTTGTAAAATCATATCACACCTACTATTCCGAAAGTTATAGAGCAAAAAAGTACAAAAATAGCTTTTTAAAATTTTGATTTTAGAAAATTATGAATTGAAACATTTTTAATAAAAATAGTTAAATATTGACAATTTGTTACCACTTACAGGGATCCTGAACCATGCAGAACGATTTTTATCTTACATGGAAAATGATATCACAAAACGATTGTTCATTTTAAACTCTTATTGGCTGCTCTGGACTTTAAAGTATATATAGAATAAATTTCATAAGTTAATATTATTAATGAGGCAAGGGTCTTTAATTTAAAATAAATTTTTTTTTTTTATTCTGACTCCTATTTAAGAAAAAAATCTATTATGCAACATAAATAAATTGTTACATTTTACTGTAACGTAACCAATTGAACTCAATAAAGTATACTTTTATACGGATTGAAATTTATAATAACTGTATTAACGGGCTTCGAACGATACTTATTATCAATTTTATGTTTTTTTACAATTGTTTTTTTAGAAGTGTTTTTTAATGTTAAAAGAATTCATCTATTACGGCTAAATATTTTTAGATACTTAATTAAATTAATAATTGTTACATTTATTACCAATAACCGAGCAAAAAGAATTATACTTGCGAATAATATGACATGCTATGCATTTGGGTGTCTGCTTGCTAAATAAAAAAATTATGGCGCTCAATGAAAACGTGTTGTAATTAATTTATACTGTTTTTAACATTATATGTTATATTCTTTATGGATCTGAAAAAAATATTCTAAAATGTTCTTTATGTTATGAGAAATACATGTATAAATAACAAAAATTATTTTATATTTTTTGATTTTGTGGGTTCGGAATGTANTACGCTAGAATCAGTTATTTACATTAATTGATAAAGCTACGAGTATTTTGTATTGTCTCTCAGTTTTTCGTTTAGGTCGTATTTTGATAATGTGGTGCTATATTTGATCACTGGTGCGCTTCTGTTATCATATTGGATTTTTCTGGTTCCTCTTATCTCTAGACCAATAATTCAATATTGGTACGTTATTGACATTTTGGATTAAATTTAGCTTATCTAATAACATAAATAATTTAAGTAGCTTTATTTTACTTCTTTTACACTTTTCCAAATATGGTAAATCTATTTTAATTAAATCTTTTTCAATTGACACATAATTTATATTTTTTTTACAATCAGCACAATAGTTTCTGATTATTTTCAATATTAATATTTTGATTCTAGGCAATTCTGTTTTGTTTTATATTATTTTGTTTGAAAAGAATCTTTGGTATTACTATTCAGGGTTACGATATACGTTTAGACAGGACCTAAGGCNACGTACAGCAGCAACACTGGAAATCGTTTCATTGTTCGTTAGTTGCTTGTGAGACTTTTCTCGTCTAGCACCTAAGCAGTTATATCACAGTATTTGTGGAAAATGTCCGATGATATGCAGGAACAGATGCTTGACATCCATGACCAAATTCATGAAGAATCTAAGAAGGCTGGCTTTTCCTTTTCCGGCCGTTAGGCTTGTCTGATTATGTCTTCTAGGAATGCTACCAGAGTGTCAAGACAATTGGATCTGATACCCAGCAAAGATTATTGCCCTCTATTTGTTGGCGATAAGGTATGTTAATTTTGAAATTGCTTTTACGTACCTGAAGTTCTGTGAGATTTTTTATTAAATTCAATAGAATTTCCTTTTTTTAAAAGAGGGTCCAGCAGACGGAGTTTGACTACACGGAATTAAACAAGGACACTATTAAGGTCATTGTAAGTATCAAAATTTTTTAAGTTATACCTTCATAGGCGCGTTACTTATGAGGATAAATCAACGGTTTTTTATTAGCTGCCTCAAGAAAAAGTATGACAGAAGTGGATTTTGCTCCATCCTCTCCAATTCGCCTCACCCACCGTGACGTACTTCCGGTCCACTTTACACCACCTAACGCAACCACACTACACGACACATTTTGTATTTTATCAATTGTTTTTTTTCCTTCTAATTGATTGAAACAAAAAGGCCCTTACCCACTCTGCTGCAAGCGGTCCCACTTTTAAGATTTTGAGCAGCTAAGCTAGCCATTGATATTCTCATGTTGATGTACTCACGAAGACGCTTTTACACACACTTGTTCCCTTTCTTTTAAGTTAGTTTGAAAATCAACTTGTGGATCCATTTAATATTTAAATAAGTTTATCCAAAAGTAATCTTATATACCAAAAGTAATAAGGAAATTTTCAAAGATCGTATGAATGCAATTTTACGCAGTTTTTTTACAAGGTTACATGTTCAAATTCGATTTTTTAAAACTACAGTTGACTTTTAAAAAAAAAAAGATCTGATGAAAGAGTACAGTCTTGTACTGGCCAGCCTACATATTATTACTATTGTTTTGTGCGCTACTATATTGTTTATAATCGTTAATTTATTTGATATTAAATTATTAACTAAACCCATACTTAATCAATATTAATATACTCATCCATACGATAATTGAACCACCTATGTACATAATATTGTTTTATAGAAGGTATTTTTATACCCCGAATTGTAGTGTATTCCATATAATTTAATGGGCGAATAACTTTATTTTCTTTGTCTTTTTTTTTTAATAACTTTTGAAGCATTTATGTTTTGTAGGAGTTATCCTAAAGTTAAGTAGAAATGTCTATGAAGATTTCCAGAGAGCAGAATAAACATCAAATTAATGAATTTTTTGTTAGAAAGTGTGGATAATGTGCATGGAGTTGATGTTATTCAAACACTGATCAATAAGTGTTTAGGCTCTAAATAAACAGTTTCGTTTATAATTTTTTTTTTTATCTTTGAGTCGAAAACATAGCTAGAAGTAGTTTGTTCAATATGTAATCATCTTTTAATTCATGTTTGTAAAATCATATTTCACCTACTATTCGGAAAGTTATAGAGCAAAAAAGTACGAAAATAGCTTTTTAAAATTTTAATTTTAGGAAATTATGAAATGAAACACTTTTAATAGAAATAGTTAAATATTGACAATTTGTTACCACTTTCAGGGATCCTGAACCATGCAGAACGATTTTTATCTTACATGGAAAATGATATCACAAAACGATTGTTCATTTTAAACTCTTATTGGCTGCTCTGGACTTTAAAGTATATATAGAATAAATTTCATAAGTTAATATTATTNAATAATATTTTATTTCTGTTTATTTTCTTTTTCTCTCTTCTTTCTGAGTGGTGCCTTTCTTTAAATTCTTTCGTGTTTTCGTCCGAGTGTTATAAAGGGCGCGCCGCGTTGTGATAGTGCCGTTGCTGTGATATATATTTCGGGACAAGTGCCTGGTGTCATATAGATTTAAATTCAAGGAAGGGAATCGCGCGGATCTTTATTGTTTTTGTCGTGCCTGTAGGTGATATAGAAATATATATATAGATCGTTTGGGGAAAATTTTTCTTGTTTTGTTTTTGTTTGTTGCGTAGTGACAAGTCAGGCAAAGTAAGCGTCGAGCTCACGCGTCATAAGTTGCGAGGATGAATCGTCCGCGTGATATGGGACCGCTGGAACCGCAGTTACATGCCGAGACTGTGCGCGACGTGGTGCACACCCGCGAGCAGAGAGCTTTTCGGCGGAAAATATTTACGCTCCCACTAGAAGTGGTGTTACCTTAGCTGGACGAGTGGGGACTGAGTTTAGAGAGNCGATATTTTTATCTATCTATACAATAATTATAATCTTCGGAGGGACAAGAAAACTTACATAAAAAGTCCCTAAACATTTATTTTCCGTCTTTTGTTCTGAAAAAATTTTAGGTATAGCAGCTATACTTATTGTGTTGATTAAATATGTAATTTCAATTTTAATTACATAATGTTGGTTTTAGACCAAACTTTTAATTAGCGTCTGTGAGTATCAAAACTTAATACCTTTGAAAATTATGCAACAAAAAGCTGAACAGTAATGAAAAACAGATCTTATATATCAAGTTAACTGTTACGTTACTTAAAATTTTTACCTGGTAGTTACAACCGCTTGTCACTTACATTATGAATTTCAAAAAAGTAAAAGTTTAACCTTAAACATAATTTNGGTTGTCTGCTTGCTAAATAAAAAAATTATGGCGCTTAATGAATAGGTGTTGTAATTAATTTATACTGTTTTTTAACATTAATTGTTATATTCTTCATGGATCTGAAACAAACGTTTTAAAATGTTCTCTATGTTATGAGAAATACATGTATAAATAACAAAAAATATTTTATATTTTTTGATTTTTTGGGTTCGGAATGTAGTGGCTGTCGCAACTACTAGTATGATTATTAACGAAAAAAATTATCTTGTGCTCTGTTCTCTGAGATTCTCCTATTACATCCTAATCCTCATGTTGACTTAAAGAAATTGCTTTTTTTAGATGACCTTAATGTGTGCCTTATAATTTCGTTAAAGCAGAAATTGTAAGCACTCATGAGTCGTTTGGGAATGAGTGGCTGCAGAGTGTCAACAGAAAGTAACGCTAAATAATGTAAAAGAAGTTTATGGCATACTTTTTGCTTACTTTTTGCCTAAAAAGGGTTGCCAACATACAACTGAAACGTTGTACACACTTTGAATTAAGAATAAACTTTTCGACAGTGTGCCATAAAATTTATTTACATAATTCATTTTTTTCTGCTGTTGTTAAAATTAAGAAATTAAAAAAGTAAGGCTGTTAAGAAAGTTACACTGTTAAAAAAAGTACGTTAACCTATTTTTCTATGTAATCTGGTCAGAATAAATAGCAATTTCAACAATTTTGGTCGTAGTTAAAAAAAAATTTTATATTACGTTCTCCATCTACCTGTCCATACTAGTTGATTAATACAATTCTTTTATTTTTCAGGTCAGAGGAAAATCGGTAGTAGTTAAGGGTACCAAGAAAAATGAACTAAATGAAGCCACTATGACGTTTGACATCCCAGATCAGTGTGATTTGGATAGAGTCGAGGCAGGGTTCCTCTCGAACAACGTTTTATATATTCGTTTTTTTTCAAGGAACAAACCAGATGTTCAAGTATAGACCATTAAAAGTGTTCTAATTTTTTTATAATTTGTTTCCTCAGTGAAAGAAAATATTACGTAAGAAATAAAATAATACAATGATGTCATTCTGTTAATTAATTTTTAGAACAAAGTTCTTTATGTCGCGTGTCATGGGGGGCTGGAATTTTAAAAGCAACAGATTTTCATAAAACAGAAGTTGCTTGCCAGAAATCTTTTCTTCCTAATTTATTTAATTTCCCCCCTTACTTTGTCAACATCACCATCCCGTTACAAACTTTTCCTTACCCTCTCTCCTAACCGTAGTGCCCTAGTCTTCTGCACACCTTCTCTCATCGGTCCCCGTTTTGCCACACCTATCCATTCCGATTTACATACACCAAACAATCAATGTTTTATTTAAACATTTTTCAATATAATNCCACTAGAAGTGGTGTTACCTTAGCTGGACGAGTGGGGACTGAGTTTAGAGAGGGACGAGTTTGTGCTGCGAGACAGATTGTTGCGATATCGAATGCTTGAGCTCGAACCGGAAAACAAGCTCATTCCGAGGTATGAGTGTGATTTTGCGCTAGCCGGATCCGAAGGTGGCGACGAGTCAATCACGAGGGCCGAAGCTGGTGATAATGCATGGGTGTTGGGGCCGAGCGTGGAGAAGCAAGAGGTTAGCGCCATGAATATCACCAGCCGACGGGGGACAAAAGAAACCGTAGTGACTAGTAGGGGCGAAATGGGCCATTCCGCCACCCGAGAGGGTAGCGTTCGGGAATCGGAAATGCGGAGCCATGATGGGAGTGATCGACTAATGCTGAGAGCGCAGGAAGTAGAGTTATCGTTCAATCGTGACAAGCGAGATTTTAGCTCCCGGGAGACGAATTTTTCGCGCGTCGTGATGTTGCCAACCTCGAATTTCATTCCGCCAACGTGCCCCGTGACCGTACCCGCTACCGTCACGACCACGACGGTGTATACGTCACCGATCATGGCCGCGTCCGTCACGCCCCATCGACCGATTTTTGCGCTTTAGGGCCAAGCGAATATGCAAATCGTGGGCTCGTTACCTTCCGGTGACCCCGGGAAAATTGGTCTTGGGGTTTTTGATATGTTTGATCGACTTAGGGAGATGCAGTCAGCGGGGGCAGGGGCGATTAGTAAAGTAACGGGAGGTTATTGTTTGGGGGCCGCTACGGGTGCACGGAGAGACTCCGTGGCCAACCAGCCGGGATCTCACGTGTCGAGCTCGGGGGTGCCGGCTTTATCATTCTCTCCCTTACCGTCGAACCGCGTCCCTGGACTCCATGCTCCGCTCGACCATGAGCTGGGTGCGCCTGCACCGCGCCTGGAAACAACTGAGGAGAGCCGTCAGTTCTATCAAACCGCGACCGAATGGGTTAACAAGTCTCTAGGTCTGAGAGACGCCGCGATGAAGAAAGATGTGCCAAGTGACCAGCGCCTCAATGAAACGTATGCGCAAGCGACGGCCGAGTTACGAGGACTCAATCCGCGTCAGGAAGAATCGGGTAGCGCGACTGAGACCTTCCAGCTGCCACGGAAGCCGCTGCCATCGAGAAAGCCTCTGACGCAGCCGAGGGTACTTGTGAAGAAGGTCGAGGAGGAGGTGGAGCGCGCGTATGAAGGAGACAGTTTCTCGGACTGTTCGCAACAACCCGCGCCGTCAGATAGCGAAGGCTGGACCCTTGTCTCTCCTTGCCGTTTTAGGCCGCGAGGGTTTCCAGCGGAGTCAACGGGAACCCGAGTCCCCGGCCCTCAGGGCCAACGATTCACGCCAGACTTACGCAAAGCTGGCCCATCTTCGACCACCTTTTACCCAGTAGATAAACGGCGTAGGAGACCGTTAAACCCTCATCCACAAGGAAGAGGTTTCCAACTGCCGAGGGCTAGGAACACGCGTAATAGCGCCTAAGATCAGCGTAGGCGACAGACGGGGCCGACCCTACCGGAGGAAATGCGGGATGTACGGGGCGAAGAATGGCACCTTAGAGCGGGCAAGCGAGCATTAAGCGACTAGTCAAGCTCGGATAGCAAGAGCAAGGCAGAGTTTACCAGGCGGCGGGTCAACGACCGTAATCGGCAACGCGCGAATAGATCGGAACGTGGTCAAGCCGAGAGATCGGCTAAACCACGCGAGAACCGGGCCTCGAAGGCTCTCCAGAATTGGAAACTCCATTTTTAGGGAGAAGATAAGGGTAAGGATGCGGAGGATTTTCTCGAGCGCTTCGAGGACTGTCGCGTAAGTGTGGGTGCTAGCGGAAGTGAGTTTTACCGCGCCGTGCCAGTAAATTTGTTTAAACGGGCGAGCCGTTGATTTAGAGCCGTGAAAAGCGAGGTTGTGACATGGCGACAATTTAAGCGAGCGTTTAAGCGACAATTTGTGGGTGAGTATGATCGTGTGGATTTGCTGGACGATCTGCAGCGCTGGACTCAGGGGAAAGGGGAGAAGGTGAACGATTACGTGACTAATATCCGCTATATCGTGTCACGTTTGTCAGGCCACCGTCCTAGAAGACGGTTACCGAGACCGTGTACCGGAACTTACTCCCGGAGTATCGTAAGGCGATGAGTGGGCAGCTCATAATGTCGCTTGACGACATCCAAGAGTACGGGCGCTTGTGGGAGAGACAGAGAGAGCTGGACGGGAAATACGCGCCACCTCCACCGCCGGAGAAGATGCACGTTCCCGGAGCCGCTTTTATTAGCTCCGTGCCGAGGGTTAAGGTAGCGAGGATCACTGACGAGAACCCCGAACAGGTTGCTGCCGCTGCGGTCGAGATTCCGGGCACTAACAAGGGAGCTAAAAAACGGGGACTGAGGAAGGCGCCTGGAAATTTTAAGCCCGTCACTTCCGAGCCTCCCGCGCTACAGTGGCCAGTGCCAAACCCTCCGTCCCTAAGCCCGGCAATAGGGGAGCCAGGCCCGTATCCGTCATATGCGGCCGCCGTGCAAGTGACCCAACCAAACGTCGCAAAAAACAGTGGAGCGCCGGCGTGGACTGGAGGCCAATGGGTATGGCCATCAGTACCCCGACCCACTATAGGGGGGAACTTGGGACCGCGACCTACGATCACGCCTCCACCTGCTCCCGCTGCACAAGCCAACCCGTTCCGCAT